AACCTTTACATCATCGATCAATGCAATCATCGAGTACAAAAATTCCATCTAGACTCAACTTCATGTTTTTAATTGTTGAATGTAATTAGATTTAAAAAAAAAACGTTAATACAGTGCAAACATGAAGTTGGGCACGAGTTTTTGTTTTGTTTTACTTTGTCGACTTTCACATTGCGATCTAAAGATCTTGAGAGTCGCAAGTCAGGAAAAAAATTTTCAACTGAACATGAACGAAGGTATCGAGGCCAAAGTACTCAGAACTTTTTTCAAAACTTTAACCGAGCATTCCGTTTGCTCATAAATATCGTCCCAAAATGACAGATTTGCAAAAAAAACTAATTTTTTCGATTTTTAGATAATTCAGTGTTCAATGCATGAATTTGTTTGAAAGTAGGTTCTTACGATTTGAGAGAGTTCTCGTAGCGATGAATCTGTTAATGATTGATTTATGCATAGATCATGAATCATAAAGACAGTTAAATGTTCAATCAAACTCACGATAAGCGTCAATAGATTCTTCCAAATTAAGTGATGAATTTAACTATGACTACTTCAATAGTATTTTAAATTTCTATCAGTAGTTGAGTTGAAAGTGTTTTATCGCACTTTATAGACATACAGGAACGAACCAAAACAAAACACTAGAAAGTGTTGACGATGGAAACTGCTCTAATAAACTATGAAGTTGATCATTCAAATTTTCAATCTTATTTTTTATTCTGTTTCGAAAATTCTACGTGAGTTCTGCATTTACATAGGAACTATTACGAATTGAGTGCTCACCGATCAATTTATTGAGTTATTTTCATTGTTGAATATAATACTAAATTCTAAAAATGCCTGATGGGTCCCTTAAACAAGGGCGAAGCGTCGTACGATGGTTTAAATTTAATCTCTTACATGTCCTGATCCAAAAGTTGGAAAGTAAGAAAAGAATATTTATAACAAAGTGTGTGATTTAATTGGCAGCAATACTGACTCTATTATACAAGAATTAATAAAACGATCAAGTAATCGAGCTTCAGTTGGCAGAATTATCTAAAATAAAAGGAAATCTTTGATTGAAATACGATTCATCATCCAAATAAACTAATTTGGTTTTGCACGAATTCGAATATTGTTGTAATACTGATATTGTCTTCTGAAATGCATCATTAAAGTGCTCACCATAAATAAGATTAATTGAGCAGTAAATTCCACTCAGTACAAGATGTGCAATGACTGTTGGATCATGTCCTTCAATATCCGTTTTCATTAGAATTCTTGGTGGGCCGAATCCTGGAGGTATTTTCCGATTTAATACTGTTCTTTTAATCCACGATACGATATCAATACTTGGTACAATGATAGGTTTTCTTCCATTACCTGCTAGTAAGCTTGCACCCCATTGATTGTTCACTTCATTGCCTGGTTCTGTGTAAAATGAAAGATTTTTTTCGATTATACTAACAGCAGTCGATTTAAAAATCTTAACACGCCAATGTTTCTTTAAACAGTAATTTTCAAATTCTTTCAAATAATTATCATGTAAAGGATTAGCTTCAAAACCAATAGAACATACTTTAGTTAAGTTATGTCCGAAGACCATTTTAAAGAGCGGTAGAACTGGAGCATTTGGATATAAATTGGGTTCATAAAGTTTTCGAATTTGTATTCCAATATTTGTTCCTATATCGATATAAACATCTCTACAGCCATCTAGTAAATTTTGCTGCGAGTCATCAGAAAACTGCAAATTTGGTTGTTTAACATGTATCCGCGTTTGCATTATGCTAATAAATGAAATACACAAAACCAACAGAAAAAGAATTATTGTGCATTTCATTATTTTCTTTGAACGTGGTTCCTGGTCGTGGTGAAGATTTCCGTGAAGGGTAACATTGTTTTTGTTTGCATTGGTCGATGTTGAGGTGCAAGGCATCTCAATTGTATTGATGTGAGGGAAAAGAGGATGTTGATATTGCTTGACTTGTTTCACTTACTTTAATGGTAGCTTCAAAAACATTGTAAATCAACGATCACAGACTGGTAGACTCGAACCTTAAATCTACAAACGCGAAAAATTAAGTATATTATACGGACTTAAGCGCTTTTTTCTCAGTTATACTGATCGGCCTAGTTTCGTTAGCGTCCTCCCTCTTTCATGGCACTCTCAAAAATGATTCATAGAAGATTTTTTTAGTGATTGTTCGTTTTCTTTCGAAAGCATCACTACTAAAAGACAGAAAAAGTATAATACTGATGAAAATATCAACAAGTAATACTCATCAATAGATTTTCGAGCCCTTTTCTGAAAGTCTTCTATATAGAGAAATATAGCATCACTTTTTAGTGGCAGTTTCGATTTGACTCCTGACAAAGAGATTATTCGCTTTTAGAAGAAATTGGTCTCTCGAAAAATCAGCTTCAATATGTCTTAAACTGCCCTAAACAATGATTCATCGTTGTTTCCAGTATTCGCCCATGAATGCTGTATGTAGATCGAGTCCGATCGTCAACGGTAATTAGATTTTTTCTCCCACAAGAAACTAGCCAATAGAGTTAGTATGAATAAAGATTACAAGAATACTCACACATACACCCATACATATTATTACGAATTGAGTCTTACCTTCTCAGTTTATTGAGTTTCTTTGATTTTTTAATGTAATACTAAATTTAAAAAGTGCCTGATGAGTTTCTTCATCAAGGACGAAACATTGCGTGATCCTTTGAATTTAATCTCTAATGAAGGTGATGCGAAGTATAGTATTTCTCTAGTTCTTTGCGAGTTCTCTTATTTAATGTGGTGCGAAACGTAGCATATATGTAGTATTCTCGAAGTTTTAATGCGACGCGAAGCAAAAAAAATAATTTAGTCCGTCAAGAGTTTTCTTTTTCTTTTTCTTTCCTTTTTATTTGATACTGAACGCATTACATCACGTCGTTTTGTGACACGATGATGTCGAGAACCAAAAGTCATAAAAATGTCGTTGAAACGATAGGTTAAAATATCAAGAATGAACTTATAACATGTTTTTTTGTAATTTTTATTCTGATATTAGCAAAAAATTCATGCAGTTCGTCCCATACGCATCCAAAGTCAGCATTTTTACGACTCAGTGATCTCAGCAACGAAATTTCTTCTGGTGCTCTTTGAAATGGTGTAGTAATATTAAAATCTCTATATGATACAACTCTTGTCGGATTTCTCCTGGCGAATTTGATTTGGGCAAAGTAAAATATGGACCATATTTTTCAATTAGCGGATTCAATGTAATGTGATTGATTTAGCCATAAATAATATGACGTCATCAGCAAATACTAGCCACACCAAGGGGGAAACAGCGGATTTAAATCAGCTAAAAGTCAAAATGAAATCAGATAAATCAGTCTAACTCATTTTAAATCAGATAAATCACTCTAAGTCATCTTAAATCAGTAGTTTTAATCGGAAAAAATTCGTTTAAGGCCTCAAACTATAATGAAACTTGATATTAGTATTAAAGTTAAAGTCATTGCATATCATATTATTTTAGCGTCTTACAAAGTGTAACGTCTAGTTTGACGAGCACACCAGCTATAGAATAACAACCTAACCTGTTTTTATTCGCTCTTCATATTTTTCTCTCTCACCTTTTTCCTATACCTTCTCTCTAATGACTAGAGTGATTAGGCTTCTTTCTCGTAGACCTGTGGGTTTTAAACCATAAAATAGGTTGACAAAGCACAAGCGTGACTAACTCGTTCTCTTTCGTGGTGAAGGTATAAAAGCTTTAATAAAACAAAGGAAAAATATCCTGCACTGAAAAAAAAAAGGTACCACACGAAACCTTTGAGGTTTCGTCGAGTTTTACTATACTATATAAGTATCCGTAGAATCATGCGAAACCTGCATGAGGTTTCGCGATATCCAAGATTTCGTAAAAGACTTTAAAGAGTTTTAAAATATAAAAAGGTTTCGTCCGGAACCCTTCGAATTTTACGTTGCCACAGAGGTTTGGTCAAAAGCTCTTTTGAGTTTCGTATTCAGAAGGGTTTCGTAATATACCTTCTGTAGCATTCGTTCATCAGAAAATTACTATTCAAAATAATAATTTCTTCCTCCTAGAGTTCAGAATTTTCGAAGAAGCACATTCACACTCATCGAGCGACTTCGTTTCGGAGTTTTTTTCCAATTTATCCAAGCTTGTCCCACTTTAAAAGCTATTGCCTGCTTCACAAGGAAACCATGATCTCAGTTCAAAATATTTCTCAAGAACCTTTTCGTTCATCAAACTGGACGGATCAAAAATTGAATTGCTGTAACGGTAGATTTTTTCCTTCAACTCCGGTCAAAATTCTGAGGTAAGTTTGCAATAGGTTATCGGGGTTCAGCAACCTGAATATGTAATCAGTTTTTCCCGCGAGCTCCCATTGGTCAGAAAATCGGTCCCTCCCAGAGTCAAAAGCTGTAAAGGTAGATTTTTCATTTCAACTCCTGTCAAAATTCTGAGGCTCGTCTGTAATAGGTTATCGCGGTTGACGAATCCGGATCCGGCGTCATGGATTGCGCGCAGCGATCCGATAGTTGGGTGATGGTTTTTCCGATGTGGTTCTAGTTGTAGGATGCGATTGGCTGCCGATCCCGAGGATCGAAGCCGGATTCGGATTCAAGGCATTGCACTCGCATTTCTCAACGCGTTAGCCCTATGTTTTTCTCTAGGATCCTTATGAAATCCTATGGGATTCGATAGAAATCCGATGGGATCTGAGCGGTTCCAATCAGATCCTATGGTGGGGTGGGATGGATCGACCGGGGAAGCGAATCAAAAATCTTATTCCTATTTAGATCAAATGTCCTATGAATCAATATTTAATGGTGAGTTCGATTTTGAAACTTAAGAGAGGAAAAAATATTGTATTTCTGTTTAGATCAATCCTCAGATGAGTCAATATTTAATGGTAAGTTCCATTCTTGTATGTTATAACGTGATGAAATATTATATTTATATTTAGATCGATTCTCAGATCAATAAAGACTAATGGTGAGTTCAATTTTGAAAGTTAAAAGCTGATGAACTATTATATTTATGTTTAGATCGATTTTCCGATCAACGAATAATAATGGTGAGTTCGATTTTGCAACTTAAAACGTGATGAAATATTTTATTTCTATTTAGATCAGTCGTCAGATGAACAAATACTAATGGTGAGTTCAATTTTGAAAGTTAAAAGCTGATGAACTATTTTATTTCTTTTTAGATGAAGCATCGCATACCGATCGCTCCACCCACAGGAATATGGAGGAACTGGCAGAAAGTATGCCTGAAAGTCACCGTATTTTGTGGGAGAACACATGGTATCGGTGCAACATGGAGACATTATTCCGGTCGCAAACTTTCCTGATTTTTCTAGTGAGTTCCGACCAACTTGCAATGCCTTTCGGCAAGATGCGCCGGAAATCATTCAAAAAAATTCGGAAAGTTTGCGGTCGGAATACTGCATCTATGTTCCAGCGATATTCTGTGTTCTCCTATAGAATATGGCGACTTTCAGACATCTCTCCTGGTAGTTTCTACGAAACCCGGTTCTTTTTTAGAGAGTGGGTGTGTTTTGCAGTGGATAGTGGTGGAAAACTACTTCCATAATGGAGCATAGCACCCGGCGAATCTTTCATTCAACATTGCGTGGTGAATTATACTGAACCCCAAGTACGAAACCCCTGTTATCAGCTATTAAAATTAAGGCTTTTTACGAAATCCAATTTCTACGAAACCTCAAAGGATTTCGATTTGGTTGCAAAAATCGGAAACCTTTAGGGTTCGGTATGGTACCTTTTTTTTCAGTGTAGGTTAATTATGTATATTGGTATCATTCGCTTTTCATATTACACGCTTATTTATTCTGTTATTTAGGGTGGAATGTTACTACTATTCTAAAATTAGCTTAATTTAAATTAGAAATTAAAAAATCCTCTATGATACAATGAGAAAATGCCTTTTTATTATAAAATGTATTGAAAATTACAACACAGGCACTATTTTCAATTCAGCAGGGTACCCTGCTTTGCCCTGTATAACGACCGACAGGACAGAGCAGAGTGCAAAAAGTCACCCTGTGGACATCTCTGCTATGCAATACTATTCGATATGATCTCATACAATACTTGAACATAGCATGCACCCAACGGTGAAGTTATCTTTTAGGCTATAAAGAATACATTTAGTATGCAGATATTTTATATTCATGCATGATTGATTTCTGTGATAAAATATGCTGATGTTCAAGGAATATGTGAATGTTTATTTAACTTTTTTTCCTGCATACCATGTCACGAGTCGTCTGAATATTGTACGATGACATCCGAAAGATGTTTGTCATCTATAATAGAACAGGAAAAATATAAAAGATCAGAGGAAATGTTGATCAAACCATCGTAGCAAATCCAGTTACAATACAAGACATGCCAATGAGACCAAGCTTTAATTCAGCAATGCAAATCACCTCATCGCTCTTCACATTCCAGCCAGGTATGGAGGCAACGTTCAGCTAAACAAGTATGTAAGATATAAAAGTAAGTCATTAATCTGTCTTACTTTATTGTGGTATTGAAGCAGTTGTAAGATTATGCGGATGCGTTGATTGAAATTTTTCAAACTTATCACTCGCATAATGTTTGCCGAATCATCACTACTCGCATCTTGACATTCTTTGTTGGCAATGATCAAACATGCCGTAGCTTTATCAGCCTTGAGAAAAAAGTCATATTGTGTAGAGAAAGGATAAAGATAAACCTATTGTTTATATCTAAATTCACTGAAGATTCTGAAGTAATTTCTTTATGGCATTTATTTAGACTTTGAAGTTGTTATCACAAAAACAAATCCGTTAAAATTCCTAATTCAAAATGAAAACGTTTCTACATGTACGCTTGCTACACTTAGAGATAGAATAGTAAAACTGGTGTGTTTCCTAACGATACACATTTAGATTTTGAATATTAAATCTTTTTTTCTATCTATTTATTCAACTACTTATTAGCCAGTCTCTCATAATTGTAAATATTTCATAAAAATCTGATCCCTATTCAAGTTTTGGATGTGTTTATTTTATTTCGTCTATCAAGAAAATAAATACTACTTCGCAGTCATGGAATCTGACAGTTATCGATTCCACTACGAGTCCGGTGTCTTAGGAAGAGTTTATAGTAACTAACCGCTTGATCATAGAAAAATAGAATAATCATAATAATTATTTGACTAAAATGAACACTTGAATATAAACTAGTGAATAAATTTACTGAAACAGTATGAAAACTCATTTGTTTGTGAGTGAAAAATCTTTCATACAAATTTAAAAGACGAATAGAAATGGAGACCACATCGGTTCATATAATCGTTTGATTCATTCAGTCATACATGAGTTCATAATCGATGTTTCGGAATTTTTCAGAAGTCTCTCATTCAAACACACTGCCTTGCTCAATCCGATAACAATTTTATACGCATTTAACTATTTCTTCAATTTATTCGCGAAAGATAGATCAATCATTGAATGAGAATCTTCAGTATGTTTAGTATTGTTTTTTTAATTTATAATTAAAATATTCTGACGATGACTAATTTTCCATTCAATGAGATAAAAAGTATGCTGTAGCCCACCAATGTTTAATTAACTATTTTTTTATTGCTATTTGTTATTTGCTAGACTATACTTATCTGCTCACATGAATATACTTATGAAATTCAAGAATACTTTTTAGATTTCAGAATGTTTCACTTTTGCGTAGATACTTTTAAAAATAAGTTTCTTATCTAAAAAAAGGATCTCATTAGCGATCCTAGACTTCGAGATACAAGTCAGAAAATGTTTTTCGAATAAATTAGACTGGAATCGCATACCTGTACACGCTGTAAGTCGGCAATATTCATGATACTACCGACAAAGTATTGTAGTTTTGCATAATAGCGTTTGAGAATAGCTTCCATTTCGATGTCGGGTACTTTTCTTTGAACAAACATCAAGAGTTAATACAACAGTGAAACAAGATTTATAGTTGATTAAAGGCTTCATGATTCAACAACTCAAATAGTTTACACTCCATTGTCTACACACAGAAATGAGTGAAACTGAAAAATAAAAGAATCTCGGATCCATCCTGTTTTACATCTTATAGAAATAAATTTAAAAAAATTTAGATTATATATTATTAAAATAGCAATGAAACTAAATTTTGAGAACCGAATATTTGAATATAATCAATAGAAAATGTATTAAATTTCATTGGTACGATAGTGTTATATTTGAATTCAGATATTCAGCAATTAATGAAAACTTTAGAAATAAAGCAACTCTCGGATTTCATATTCCAGAAAAATAAGTAGAGAAGGTAATGTTGAATTCCTCAAAATATCTTCTATATGTATGCTTCGATACTTCAATTCGGAGAAACTTAACACATACCTGTCGATAATGAGAACGTCGAGTTTTTCCATTTTCTCACGTCCTTTATGTAGAAAATCACGAAGAAATGCGGCCAACGAATGAGGTGTTATGTGTCCACAGATGATAACATGACTAAAATATCTTTATGATTACGTTGATAAAAGAAAAACAATACATACCGTCTGCCTTTAACTCTATGATACCGATCGAAATAAGGACCTTTTGTACCAAATAGGTTCGAAAATTCGGGAATCGTTGTGGCAAAAATTGTCTGAATTTGAGAAAAAAAAGAACAAATGGATAAATTCCCATGATATATTCCCTTACCAATCCACCAATGAGAGATAATATCACAAAAGATTTTCCTATGTAAGTCTTACAAGAAAAATCACCATAGCCAACCTAGAGATGAACTACATTGTTTCATTGTGCTATTGTTTCTTATGTTAACTCACCGTCGTCATGGTGATGATCATGAAGTAGACTGCATTAAACGCATCCAATTCTTGTGCGTTACAATAATTACAAAAGAAATCACCCGAGTTCTCAACTAAATGTACAAAACCTGAAGCTGTAAGCAAGAGAGCGATGAACTTTGATGCCAATTGAGCGATTTGAATTTTGCGAGGCCGTTCGATGACACTCATATATTGTAGAATATTGGGAATACTCATTAACGGAAGCGCACGCAAAAATCGAAAACCTGGCCAGTAGGAGAAGAACAAAAACATAAATTATGACACTTTGATTCATTACCTATCCAACTTCGATTGAGATAGAAAGCAAGAAACGATGATGAAATGGTGAAAATATCAACAACCGAATACAAACTAAACCAAAAGCGACGTTTACTTTTAGCAACAGCAAACTAAGAAAGCAAAATACTGAGAAATATTTGTCAAATAAGAGATTAAGACACATACCCGAAGGATAAAATAGATGAGAAAGACAGCATTGAGACCAAGGTCAATCTGCATGCTTATTGACTTGCGGAATATAGTGCATGATTCGATGTACCTAAATTGAGCATGATAATTCAATAAATTTATTTCTATGAAATTTTTCAAATTCAATGATAGTCTATGAAGTTTTGCAGCGTATTAGAACCTGCATGACTTTGTGAGACTATAAAAAAATTGAACAAAAATTGCTCCTATTTCAATTTACAAAATATTCTAATTTTAGTGTGTGTCACAACCTCATTTTCAAATCTTTGCTTTCGAAACAAGCTACTACGCGTTTCAGTAATGCTGTTACCTTCGGAGCATTAGAGAGTGTGATATGCATGATTCTTTCATGAGATGTACTCTCAAAAGTCAGGAGAGATATTAGATTTAAGCATCTTGGTGACTTATGACTCAGCAAAGCAATAAATAAAAAAATGCAGAGCTTCGATAAAGCTTTTCCATTTTAAATATTTATTATGTCTTGTGTACAACGTGTTTTTAGTGTTAACCCTTAAGTTGAACTTACGTGTTTTTCTGTGTATCTAGACAGTATAGAATTAATGAAGCGATGCTACACAGAAAAATAATAGTGACCTGTAAAATAAATAGTAGATAGTGACTGATCTTGTCTGAAATACTAACAAATGATTTGCCCATTTTGGTTTGTCCAGAAATAATATTATTGTCCCAATTTTTGATTTCCTGTAGCCAATTACAATCATAATCAGCTGCATCATCACCATGAAGCAACTTCTTTTGTTTTAAGCGAGTCTACATCACAAACGATAGAAAAAGAACGATGCAGTGTTATACATATTTTATTAGATTAGCTTACATTTTCTTTTGTTCCACGGCTCCTTATATTTTGCAACTTGAAACATAATTCGCTCAATACTTCGTAAATAAAAATAATTACCCAACCGCCGAGAAGAATACCAAATGATGTAAACAGAAACGTTGTCCAAATTCGCTCACCATTACATAATGGATCGAGACTTTTGTTCGAATGCTCTGGTGAACATGCAGGGCAGATAGTCATTTTTCTCTGTTTTTTACAAGAACGCGAACATTAGAGATATACGAATGTTTCCTGACGTTCAATATCTTACACTTGATATCTAATACTTGTATGATTAAGAAAGAGAATCTATAGAAAAAAACAGGCTGTGATAGATAGTTTTCGCTACGAGAAATCCAATCGATGAAAATTCTTGAAACTATAAATATATGTCTGTATTGTAAGTTTCATTGATCAAGTGTATGAACTAATAATAAAATAAGTATAACTTGAAAATAGTACGAACTAATTTTTCGAGCGTCTAATATCGCAACGATGAAAAGTAAGCCATTAAAAACCTTGCTGCACTTTCAAATGCTAATCATCACTCAATTCATTCTAAGTATTTATTACTGGACAAACATACACAAGAGTGATTTTTTTTCTTTCAAAAAATTGTTGTTAACAATGATACACGACATATGAATTGAAATCAACGGAATATCGAACTGATTTAAAGTAGCGTATCTAGTGTACAATCAAAAATCGGAAAACTTACATTACTCTTTTGTCCGTTGGAGGCAATTGTTAAGTTTCCTCCGGTTCGTTTTCATGAAATGAGAGTACGATGATATTAAATCATGCTTGATATTTCGTGAAACACGATTTAAAAGGGGTGTTGAAGCAGTGTTTTACCTAGGCTTCATTTTTGGAGGGGCTGCTGGCTAGAAAAGTTGTTATCACATAGTAACGGGTGGCCCATAAAGAATGGCGGTCTCATTATTTACTCGATATCTTTTTTGCTCTTCATTGATTTGAACTGAACATTTTCCCAAAAGATTGAGCATTCAATGCTCTACAAACTCACGTGTAAAATATTTTTTAAACTACGAAATGGCTAAGTACTAAAGCGAAGAAAAAAGGTCCAAAAATCTTCAACTTTCAAGCACTAAATCCGTTTTTTTTTTAAATTTGCTTTCCATATGAGAATCTATGAAAAATCCAGGCTACCATGTTAAAGAGCATCAGATTCTGGCAAGATTCATGCCTTCGAATTTTTTTTCATTACCAAATAAGAAAAAGATTCTGCATAAATGTTTTCGCTGTTTCTAAAAAAACACAACTGTCGCGTCATGTTTTTGATGCTTGCACTAAAAAGCATGCCATTCACTTAAAGTGTTATTTTTTGACGATTTTTTTTTCTTTGAAAGCCAACATACTCGACTATATCCCTGTATACTTGTTCGAGTGATTCAAAGTTTCGTTTGCAGTAGACTTTCTTGTAAACTGAAACTAAGGCGTTATGGACGAATTTTCAGAAAATATCGATTTAATAGGCGAAGACCACTTTTAAAGAAATGTTTTCCAAAGATATCGAAAAGAGCGTGCTTGAAAATACCAGAAAATGTTTCTCCCGTAACTTAAGCCTGCGTATAAATTGTTGAAACATACTCCAAATGTTAATGTATGTTGACCTTGAAAGTTGAAGATTTGTTAACCTTTTTACTTCGTTTTAGTACTTAGCCGTTTTGTAGTTTTAAAAAGTCTTTTATACATGAGTTTGTAGAGAATTGAATGCTCAATCTTCTGGGAAAATGTTCAGTTCAAATCAATGAAGAGCAAAAACGATATTGAGTAAATAATGAGACCGCCATTCTTTATGGGCCACCCGTTACTTTAATGAAATCAACTTTTTATTTTCGGGTGAGCGCCGCCCACCCTACCCATACAGTAGATAAATCACTGCTCGTATTGTTGGTGTTTTAAAAGAAAGACACGTCTAAAATTGAAGCAAATCAGTGAAGACTCTTGTAAAGAAGAATTTTTGTGTATCTCTCTGATTAAAAAAAAATCTCCGAGCTTTTTCTTATTTGAATCACCTTTCGAATATCAATATATTCTATAATCGAGAATAAAAGTATTCTAGAGAATAGAAGAGCACTCGTGTTGAATTTTTGAAAATTTCACAATATTTTTCAGAGTTTTAACTAGCAGTAAAATTAATAAAAAGAACTTTTTATATTACATTCATTGGGCAAGCTGAATTTTCTACTGTGATCGATAACAACTTGAAAGTCTGTTGACTGGTGAATCATAAAGCATAATTATTATCAAAGTATTCAATATCGAAATGAGTGGAAAATCGAATATTTTAGATATATTTCATTGGAGATCGGTTCCACAACATTTCCGCGCGCGACACTACGGCGCAATACAGGTTCATGCATAATATTTGCTCGCAAAGTCCTCATTCTAACTCTCACCCTCACTCGTCCCCTCACTTTTGTTTTCGTTTTCACCCTTATTTTCGAGCTCACCCTCAACTTTTGCTCCCACGATCACTGTTGCGCGGAAGTGTCGCGCGCGGTCATGTCGTATCACGCTCATATACATAGCTAAACCTGAAATTATCAATAAAATACTATTACGGTTTTCACAACTGTTTCATGGCACATACACCCTCTCTTTTACTTACTTCTTGTTTTTTGTAGTTATACTCAATATTCCTGGCGATGCCAGATGGGCACAAAATGGAATCACTGTTGCTGGGGGTCATGGATATGGTAGTGTCAATTATCAACTCTACTATCCTTTGGGCTTATGGGTCGATGATGATCAAACAGTGGTCCTTATTGACCAATTAAATCATCGTATCGTGCAATGGTACAAAGGTGATAATTATGGGCACGCTGTTGCTGGTGGCAAAGACTCAGGAAATGAATTGAATCAATTGAAAGATCAAACTGATATATTGATCGACCAAGAGACGGATAGTCTCATTGTTTGCGATCAAGGGAATCGACGAATTTTACAATGGTCTCTTCGTAGAGGCACAGAACAAGGAGAAATTCTCATTAGCAACATCGCATGCTATGGATAATCACAGATATCTCTGTCTCTGACATCGAAAAACATGAAGTTAGACGATAGTAATTGGGAACTTAGAATAGTACTCTCGTGACTGGTGGCAATGGTGAAGGTGTGTATCTCAATCGACTCAACCTTCCGACTTATCTTTTTGTAGATCGACAACAGAATGCTTATGTATCAGACAGTTACAATCATCGCGTCCCAGGACGATGTTTCCGGCCTCCGGAAATGGGCGGATTTCATTGGAACCGGTCAGAAACATACTGGAAACGCACCGGAACATGCAGGAAAACGCCGGATATCATCGGACCCTGGAAGCAGGATTCCGGGACGAATTTTTCCGGTGATTTCCGGCGTGAACCAACAGGAGCTTGGCAGAAATTACAGGAAAAATCTGTAGATTTTCCGATCCGGAATACTGCTTCCGTGAAATCGCGGGAATGCGCGGGAATCGGCTGTTTCCCGGGCCGGTTGCTTCGACCTGGGGTAATGCGGTGGAATAAAGGTGCAAAAGATAGCATTGTCACCGCTGGAGGTCACGGTATAGGGGATGCTCTGACACAATTGAATCATCCTAACGGACTCTTTGTTGATACGTTGAACAATCGTGTGATGCGTTGGCATCAAGAAGCAGGCCACGGTACTATGATTGTGGGCGGAAATGACTCAGGAACAGGAGCAAATCAATTCAATCTTCTCGATAATTTGTCCTTTGATCGATATGGTAATCTTTATGTTGTCGATCGTAATAATCACCGTGTTCAACGATTTTCAATAGAATAAACTCATAAATTGATTGAAAACGAAATTTTGTTGCATTAGCTTTACTATTCGCACGTATATGAGCCTCCAGACTAAGACCTGATTGCAATCGTCGGTTCGAATGGATATCTTTAAAAATTGCTAAAAGAGATCACGAGTGTATTCTTCCCTTTTAAACCCTCATAATTACATCCGCATCAAAGAAATAACTTTCAACAGCGGTACTATACAAAATGTTTTGCAACTTGTATTCTCTATATAAATACTTTCTGATCGGCATCAACAGTTAGTGACACCTATCAGGGTCTATGAGAAAATATGCATTGATATATATTTTTCAACTTCATTTTTATCGATATTTTAAAGTTTGATTAAAAATATTACATAATTATAACAAAATTCATTTTATTTGTCGCTGCAAACATTCGTGTTTGAATATAAATGCCTTGCTTGCGTACGGTATGCATCATCTTTCGATCGCTTACGATTGATGATGCGCTTTTACATTATTGTATTTTACTGAAATAAATAATCTTTTAAAAAAATGGGTGCACAATATTCATCATTAAATGAATTAAAATCTAATCAATATTTATCACAATTTGTTAGCGAAGAGACTATATCAGCAAATGATCCATTTTGGAATCAATTTCTTTCATTTCGACTTCAATCTCCGTTTACTACGTAATGCAAAGAAGAAGAAAATAAACAAACCAATCATTTCTTGATATTTTCTTATTTTAGTGCTCATTCAAAATTGATCGATGAATCCTGTTCAATATTTCTTCAACAATTTGAAGCTAATAATCCTAAAACAAATAATTATGGAACACTTATTGAAGTTTTTATTCGCTTAGCAACTGCTGTTCGTGATGAATGTGATGAGTATGACATAAATATAACTTCTCTTAAAATTAAAATAAAATAATTCGCTATTTTAGTAATATTGTTACATGGCAAACGTATAGTGCTCTATTCATTCTTCGTTCTATATCAAAATATTTTATTGAAATTGATTCAGAACAAAATTTGTATCCATATTTTTTACCACAAGACAATCCAAGTATATTTTTGAAAGTAAAAAAGACGGTTGCTTTTTTAAAAATTATTTTTATTTAGATAGAGTCTCATTAATGAGTTATTTTGTTGATACATTATTTCGAACGACAATTGCTATACCAGTTCAATCATATTCATATGCATTACATTTGGAAGTTTTGAATACTTTACTGTCATTATTATCTATTCAAATGTGTGCGAAAGAAGCAGCACTCATCAATGCAATTTATAGTATTTTTATGCATCGGCTTGAGTATGCATATTTTCAACTGTTCAAAATAAGATTTATTTCATACATACTTTGTTTTAGTCCGTTATTAATATCGGAATTTACACGAACATTATTAGAACATTTTATTAAACAAACCGAATGTCCGCCAACATTAGCTGTTGCTCCCTTAAGTGGATCGGATGGTGATAGTGGAGCTTTATATAAAATTGGACAAAGTGTTGCATGTAAGTTATTTAGATAAAAATATCTTTTTTTCCATGAATATTTTTGTAATGACTCACACATAATCGTCTTCCGATGATAACCTTATCAAAGTCGTAAATGAATTTCAGGAGAAAGTTTTCTGGAATATATAATATTGTTTAGATGGCCTATGGTCTGTAGTCACGCTTGGTATGGGTTCATCGTCGACATCGAATACAACGGATGAAACAGTAACTGCCGATGATCCAGCCTATGAACTTCGTAATCGTCATTTAGCAAACCAAAGTATACATTTACTTTTAATTCTAAGTAATCATTTTACTAATGATGCTCATCGAAATCCTTATCGATTGGCTTTATTACATTTTACTGATACACAAGGCAAGTATTTTTATTTGTCTAAGAGTTTTATAAAGAAAATCTTTTTTTAGATAGTCCAACAAATTTACCGGATTCTGAACCATTACCTTGGTTTTCTGTCGATTATCGTCGTTTATATGATATTCTCTGTGAAACAGCACATACAGATCAGAGTACATTGCTACTCTATATGTTACTGCATCGAAATCAACATTTTAAAGCTTATGTTATATCTCGAACGAATATCGACCAGATTGTCCTACCGGTTCTTCGAGTCATTTATGCAGCTACCGAACGAAATTCACATCATATTTACATGTCATTAATTATTCTGCTGATTTTATCTGAAGATGATTATTTTAATAAAACAATACATGACATAAAATTGAAAAGTTTGTCATGGTAATTCTATACTTTTGAACTAAACATATACAATGAATAAATCTTTCAGGTATACCGAACGTTCATTGAGTGAAATAAGTTTAGGTGGCTTACTTGTTGCTGTTGTTCTACGTACAATACAATTTAATATGACACGTATGCGTGATAAATATTTGCATACGAATTGCCTTGCTGCATTAGCAAATATGTCATCACAATTTCAAAATTTGCATACATATGTTTCACAACGAATTGTTTCTTTATTTAATTTACTTGCACGTAAACATACGAAAACATTAGATCTTATTAAACAACAAACATCAACAACAGATGAAAGTGTATCTAATGAATATGCACAAGATTTAAGTATTATTGAAGATGTTATGAGAATGGTTTTAGAAATAATTAATTCTTGTTTAACACATACGTTACAACATAATATTAATCTTATTTATACATTACTTTATAACAGAGATATATTCGATAATTATAGAACACATCCTAATTTTCAAGATATTTTACAAAATATTGATATTGTAAGTTGAAATTAAATAAAAAAGAGCGATTAGCACTTTTTAAATTCTGTTCTATTTAGGTTATAATATATTTTGCTGACAAAGTAGATAAACTTGAACAACGTTCAGCTGAATATGTGAAAGAAGCTTTAGAAATGGGTGCAAAACAGTTTCCATTGGATAGATTAAAAGTAAAAAAAAAGAAACATCATTATTTTTTATACATATTATTTTTTTAAGAAATTTCCGGAATTAAAATTCAAATATGTTGAAGAAGAACAACCTGAAGATTTTTTTGTACCATATGTATGGACATTAGGTAAACAGTTTTACTTTATTTAAAAAAAAATAGTATTCTATTATTATATAAATATATATTTAGTTTACAAATCTTGCAATCTATATTGGTCATCGGAATCAATTCTTATCTTTAAACAACAACCATCATTAATTTCACAGTGACAAATATTTACATCTTTGTTATTTATTCAATTAGGATAATATTCTCGTATTATATACATATATCTGTACCTTTTCTTCGTTCTTGAGTAGTCGCACGTTTTTACGGGTGTGTTTCTAGTTATATGTTTATCTTTTTTTTTCCCATCTATATGTCTACATACACACACACACACACACAAATTTAAGGATTAAAAAAATTTCAGATTGTGAATATTGATCATGGAGCATTCAGGTGATGACCCCGATGATTTGGTGAGGAATAAAATCGATCTTAATTATATTACAAAAATGAGTAAGTTTACTTCATAACTTATAATCGAATTTTAAAAACGGATGGTGAAAAAGTTTTCTTTTTGATGTAATGCTGTCCGTTAATTAATAAAAGAAATGGTTTCGATCAGCACATTGAACGTTATATGTCTAATTCTAACATGATTTCTTATAGCTTATCAAATGCATGTCCCCGATTCAATAACAGTTGGCCCGAATCGATCAACATTTCCTCGTCTTGATCAGGATCATGATCGCCCACCGATTCATATGGTGGTACCTGACCGGCTTCGACCTGGTGAATACATTTGATTTATTTCTATTCCTTAATGTAACTTTATTTAATCTAGGCGGTAATGGTAGTACGGTTATGCTGAATGACACAGATTTTTTTGTGAATGATGAATCAAATAACTTATCGAATTCATTTATTCAACAACCATCACTACCATCAACGCTTCATCCAGCAGATCTGGAGGTTGCAAGTGAAGATGATTATTTATCATTTAATTTTCAGCAGGGACAACCATCACGTAAAATCACTGATTCGTAAGTAGATTGAAAAAATGAAAATTCGATTGGTTGAATTTCTTTTTGTAGATGGCTTGCAGAGACCCATAATGGTATTGATGATAAAAATATCTTGAATAAACTTCAGCTACTTCAAAATCGTGTTCGTCATATTGAACAAACTTTAGCTAGACGTCAAGGTCGCGATCGAATTTTTTATACATGTGTAATTGGTTATTTTCTACTTCAAGCTCTACTTTCTGTTCGTCGTTCGATGCTTAATTAAAACGTTCTAATCATCCACATTTGTGCTCACTGATTTGCTTAGCAATAAAAAGAAATCGATTTTCTATCTGTTTTTTTTTGTATTAATCCTTGTAGATTTTTATTATCTCAAAATGAGTGTTTATATGCGAGAGGTAATTTCGAACTATGACTTTTCTTCAATGTTAATTTATGAAATTTTACTTTTGTAATTAGGATTTAACACGTAATGAAAAAATTCAACACGCACGACGAATTCTGAATGAAAATAAACACTCACTTGATGCATGGGCTATACTTATACAAGATGCTCAAGTTTGCTTTTGATAGATAATTGAATAGAAGAATAAATCTTTTGTTTTCAAAATTTAAGGATAAAAAAATTGCTGAATCAAGAGAATTTTACGAATCATTAGTAACACAATTTCCAACCTGCGGAAAATTTTGGAAGATTTATGTTGAATCTGAAGTATGTATTTTAGTTTAGCATTCATTTATTTTCTTCATTTAAAACTTATGTTTTAGATAAAAGGACGAAATTATGAAAAAGTTGAAAAAGTATGTACCCATGTAGACCTACTTTTCTTACAATGTGCTTGAGAGATGAGTGAATATGTTGAAGGAATTTGATTTTAAATATCTATTTATATTTAGCTTTTTCAACGGTGTTTAATCAAAGTATTGAATATTGATCTATGGAAATGTTATTTAAATTATGTTCGTGATACCAAAGGAATTTCACCGTCATTCAGGTTGGATTGTTGTTTTTTAGTTTTTATTTTAAATAAATCGAGTCTAGATATAATATTCGTCGAGACGATAGTACTAATCATGTTTTGTTTTTCATACCTTACATTTGTTATTGATTCTTTAAAAATAAAAAAAGAAAACAACAATATAAAACTTCTTTGTTTTATCTTTAATTATTTTTCTTTATATATATATCGCTCATGATTATATATATCTATTTTATCATTGATATTATCCTGCACATTTATATGTTCGTTCACAAAATGGACACGATGCTACTTGTCGCAGTATGCAGATTATCAATCTACTTTCTTATTGAGTACAAAAACAAAAATCGCAATCTGCGAATATCCATTTTCTTCTCTTATCTGTTAACGGTTTTCTAGTCTGCTCAAGGATAAGATTAGTATTTTTATTTTTGTTCAGAGAAAAAATGGCTCAAGCATACGATTTCGCATTGGAAAAAATTGGCATGGATGTTTATGCATATACGATTTGGAATGATTATGTAACATTTTTGAAATCTGTGTAAGTATAAAAATAAAATTCAGAGGAAAATGTTATGATTCATTTTGATTTCTATTTATTCGAAGAGACGCTGCTGGTTCCTATGCTGAAAATCAAAAAATTGCTGCCGTACGAAAAGTCTATCACAAAGGTATTATGATACCAATGATCAGTGTAGAAATATTATGGAAAGATTATTGTGCCTATGAAATGGTAAACAATATAAATTCATGAGCGAAAATAAATGACGGTTTTATTATTTTAGGGTATAAATCCAGCATTAGGTAAAAGTATGATTGAAGGTCGTTCACGAGATTTTCTGAATGTAAAACGAGTGACAAAAGAATTAGAAACACTAACACGTGCCGTCGATAAAAATAATCCATGTGTATCACCAGTATCACCACAATCAACCGATGAAGTAAAACAATTAGCTGCCTGGAGAAAACTGATTGCTTGGGAACGATCAAATCCATTGAAAACCGAAGATATTGTACTTGTAACACGTCGTGTTATTCTTGCCTATGAACAGTGTCTTCTTTGTCTTGGGTATCATGCTGATCTTTGGTAAATATTCAATTTCAAATAGTAAATGCAAAAAAAAAAGAATTCTCTTTTCCAGGTATGAAGCTTGTGCTTATTTGGAACAAACATCTCGAACATTTTCAGAACGAGGTGATGCTCATTTAACCAAACGTTTTCTTGACGAAGCATCTGCTTTATATGAGCGTGCCATACAAACCTATATGCGGTCGAATATGTTGATTTATTTTGCTTATGCTGATTTTGAAGAACATCGTTTAAATATTGATAAAGCTCGTTCGATTTATAATCGTTTACTTGATGTTAATGAAGCAAATTTAAAAGATCCAACACTTGCCTATATACAAGCAATGCGTTTTGAACGACGCACCGATGGTATAAAATCAGCGCGAACTATATTTAAACGTGCGCGTGAAGATTCACGTGTCAATCATCAAATCTATGTTGCAGCTGCGTTAATGGAATATTATTGTACAAAAGATAATAATATTGCATTTAATATATTTAATCTTGGTCTGAAAAAATACGGACAAAATGTTGATTATATATTAGCTTATATTGATTATATGACACATTTAAATGAAGATCATAATGCACGTGTTCTATTTGAACGTGTTCTATCAGTAGATAATTTAATAGCGAAACAATCTCAATTGCCTTTATGGAATGAATTTCTAAAATTTGAATCTCAAGTTGGAGATTTATTGTCAATAAAAAAAGTTGAAAAACGTCGTTTAGCTATTTATTCCGATTTAAATGAATTAGAATTTCGAGAAACTTTACTACTTATTGATCGATATAAATTTCTTAATTTATTACCATGTTCAAATGATGAACTGAAACTATTAGGTTATAAAGATACGGTGATGAGAAATTCGTCATCGGCATCAGTGACTAGTCCTGTTGTCAATGGTACAGCTGTATTAGAGCAAGCTGCACGCGATCGACGTACGAATTTACCTCGGCCAGATATTAAACACTTGATGCCATTTCGACCAACAAGAAATCCATTACCAGGTAGTCATCCGACTCCTGGTGGTGTGTTTCCATTGCCCGATACAGCACTTTATCTTGTTAAAGTTCTTCCACCACCCAGAAACTTTGAAGTAAATTCAATATATTGAAAATATCGATGAATTAAGTTTTATTTATTTTATATAGGGTCCATTTGTGATTATCGATGAATTAATGGATCGTATGACGCGTACTGCCATACCAGATAGTAAGTAAAGAGATTAGTTAGAAATATCGAATACTCAGTAGTACAACAACGATAAATAATCATATTCATAATGATGATAGGATAGATTCGATGTGTTACTTTTATTTGTTATAGCTTTTGAACCCGTACGTATAAGTGTTCAAGGTGAAGTCATTCGTGATCTTGATACAAACAATAATCAATCCAGTCGAAAAACTGAACATCCAGATAGTGATGATGAAGATCATCCATCGAATATGAATGGACGTGGAGCGTTAAATTTATATCAACAACGACAACAAAAACGTGTTAAACTAACTACATCAGCAGTTAATGCTGACTGACCATTGTCTCCGGTGCTAGCTTACTTTCATTGTGTTATGTTCTCTCTTGTGTCGTGTTCATTTTGAACATATTGTTTATGTAAATAAGAAATGATCATTTTGTTCAAGTAAACTCAAACATGAACATAAAAATAATTTTTGTTCTATTTTTTTCTTTCATCTTATCTTGAAAGAAATTTTGATAAACAAGAAAACGATTAAACTATTCACAAAGATTATGCTTACTTTATGATCGATAATTTTAGATGTCTTGCTTTGAGGATCTCTCAGGTGAAATTCTAATGGCCATATTCGAATATATGAATGTTGAAGATGTTTGGACAATATTTTTCAATATGAATGCAAGATTTCACTCACTGGTATTCGATTCTCGTCTTCGATTAACAGCCGATGTGTCAAAAGTTGACAAATTAAATTATGATCAATTTTGCTCATCATTAATAAATAAAAATTTTAGTAATATTTATAAATTAATTCTATCGAATCATTATAATCGTTATCCTCAAATTCGTTCATTTCTATCTCAAACAGCTTTCACAATATTTCAATCATTGCATGCATTAACATTAATTGATATTAATCATGACGAGTTAATAGAAATAACACAACAAATAAAACAATTGCCATATTTAAATTATTTGCATATTAATACACATGAAATTTTTCGCGATAAAGAATTAACCAGTGCTACATATGCATTACTCAATCAATCGAATATTCGTGTGTCAATATTTCATTTGCATGAAGTAAATATATGATGAGAAAAAAGTTTCCCCTCTGAGTATACTAGATGTATGAAATACTATAGATTAAAACTAAAAGTTTCTACTATTTTCAGAGATGATATTTCTGTTTTCTGAAAGTCTATTTTATTCTATAGAGACTTCAATGGCCTGAAACTGAAACAATCTCATCATGTAACACTGAGGTTCTTTCGTTGGATTATATTAATGCTGATCGTCTGGTTTTTCTATTGCCACATTGTTCATATCTTCGTTCATTATCTGTTACACTTGATCCTCGGACTAGTTTATCAAAATTAACACAAGGCGATATATCTTCGTCGTTAACATTTCCTCAAATAACATGTCTTCGTTTGTGTTATCGTCCATTTGATTTATCAACTCTTGAAAATTTATTAAATTCTGTACCTTCAGTAAGACGATTTTCCATGGAAACTCTTGTTTATAGCACTGATTATATACGTTCACCGTTTTGGACATTACTTCTACAACAATACTTACCATCATTAGAACGTATACATTTAGTAGTACGTGGTTGGTTTGTTTTAAAAACAAGTAATAATACTAATGATGAAAAATTAGATGAAGCAAGTATAACTGATAGTTATCGTTATGATCACTATTGGCTTGATCGAGCCTATAAACATATATTTAAATGTCTAGTTGATTCCTCAACAGCAGTATTAGAGATACGATGAATTCATTATATTTTCTTTTTTTCTTTGTATATTTATTTTCTTTTTGTTTTCAATCATTTTCAATGTGATAACAGTTTGTTCAGGTTTTTCTTTTAAATTAACGATACAGTTTATTTGTGTCTCTGATTTTCTTTTGCACATAATAAATTTGTTTGTTTTGTACTTTTGACATACACGAACGGTGTGACTATATACTGCATTGCAAAATTCTTTTTCTTTCTATTGATCCTAACACTTGAAGATCTGAAAATTTATGAACTTCTGAGATGGCTGTAGGTGTGAGCTTGGAAGTCTTTATTGCGCCCACACACTACTATCTTTGATTGAATTTGACGATCGAAACATCGTAGCAAAGACATTTACCAGTGAATATGTAATAGTCGCCATTAGGGATGTAACGATACCAATGCAGTATTGGGATATTGGTAATGGTATTGGTATCGATAGCAGGCCAATGGAGAAAAGGCATATTCTGTACTTCCGAAAAATATAAAATTTTCGAAAATGTGTTGCAACAGTTCGATTCCTTGACGCGGAAAACCTTTGGGAAAACTTTATACAGCATTTCTAGTTTCTTCAGGTACCTTATCGCTACTAAAAATTTTTGAAATTTTGATTTTTTTAGCTAGGATAGCGCATGTTCAGAAACCAGCGATTTTGTATAAAGTTTTTCCCAAAGGTTTTTGGCGTCAAAGAATCGAACTCCTGCAGCATAGTTTCGAAATTTTTATATTTTTTTGGAAGTGCAGAAGTATGCCTTTTCTCGATCGGCCTGTTGTCGATGCCAATACCCACCAATACTAAATGGCATTGGTATTGTCACATTCTTAGTCGCCATGCGTATGGAAAAATATTTATATTTTGACTTCAAAAATGTGATTCAATATTTGATTGTCGACTAAGTCGCAGATGGCAACACGAAGAAGTGTGTTAGTAAATTTATGATTCTTTTGGGCTATAGAATACTTAACAGATGATGACCACACAAAGTATATAGAGTTGACTGGGGTAAATCAATGATGTTTTGTATATGCTGTTCTTATTTTGCTTTATAGCTCCTGCATTTCTCGTCGGATAAAAAACATTAATGGCACCAGTTATTTAGAGCAAACATCGTTTTACAAATATGCCCGTTTTGTTTTTTTATAATACTTCCAGGTAACGTAGCTGCGATAATTTCCCGACGCGAATTTCCGAATTATTGATTTACCCTAAATGAGGTAAGCCACTAATCGCGCTGGCGCCATTGGAGTAAATCAATCATTTTTGACTGGATTAGATAAAATCTAATTTTTGTCTTTCGTCTAACTTTGGGTGTGAGTATGGATTCAGTAAACTTAGACATCCACACTCTAAAGACATGACGAAATCAATATTGCGACACTGAATTGGTTAAAATCCAGCTTGAATGTATTTATCAGCGAGTTTAATCTAAAGCAAATATTTTTAAGTTCAAAATTTCAGAAATGTATAATCCATAATTTTCGGTTGCGTTCATTTCTTCACACTAATTTGAGCATTGATGAAATCATGATGAAGAAGTGAAGCTATACGCAAGAAAACTTCAGAAGAACAAAAAGTTGAAAATGACAGTAGTAGGATTCGAACCCACGAAAGAACAGTGCTTGAAACTGCCGCCATAGACCGCTCGGCCATACTGTCAAAACGTAATTGCTCGAAAACATTTAAATTGAGAGAAAGTGCAGCTCTCTATCTTGAGTAAGAATTTGTAAGATGCAATGAATCATAGTGACGCACAAAAAAAAACAGAAAGCGAATACATTCACAGACAGACGCTTAGAAGGTTTTTTCTTTTTGTTATTGAAGTAAGAACTTTTTGATGCAGTGCTTGTTTTAATCTTGTTCGCAAAGGAAACAACGAAACTTTTTGTTTTGACACAGAAATAGTATCGTATAGACTTTAGCAAATAGTGAGCGTCCTCTACGGTGTACAACTCGTAAACCAATCGGGAATTTTTTACACGCTTAATTCGATGGATGTGGGTTTACATGCTTTCTTTCAATCAGACACCCGCTAGCCACACCCACATCTAAAATGGCATCATCAGAAGAGAATATACAACGATTTCACAATTTGTAGTAAAGGTATGAGAGAAAAATTGTTTATTCATTCTGTATTGGAAAGTCTTTACGTTTTATTGTTGTGCTTTTCCAATTGATTCAATGAAAAAGATTTTCATCTACATTTTCTTTTTATATATTCAAGGTTTTCTCGAAATTTTTGAAGATTAGGATGATTGGCAGGTAGTGATCGTTGTCCAATATCGACAGATTTTTGATGATGTTGACGTGCTTTTGCGTATTGACCTGTCTTACTATATACATAGCCGATACTGCTATGAGATTGAGCCAAGTCACGATGATTCGAAGGAAGTGCTATTTGTTGAATTTCCAGTGCTTTTTCGTGTGATAAAAGTGCTTTTTGATACTCGCCCATCTTTTCATACACAGAACCAATACTATGATGAGAATAAGCCAAACTGACCTTATTCGCAGGCGATATATTTTGTCGCATTTCAAGTGCTTTTTCATGAAATTCAAGGGCTTTTGAGTATTCTTTCATTTTTTCATAAACAGATCCAATATTGGCGAGGCAAGATGCTAGACCAGAATAATTTAAAGGAGTTATTTTTTGTTGCAATTCAAGCCCTTTTTCATAATATAAAAGAGCTTTGGTGTATTCATTCATCTTCTCATATACGGAACCAATGTGATTAAAAGAAACAGCTAACGCATTATGGTTGTCAGGCGTGACTATCTGTTTGATTTCAAGCGATTTCTGATAATATGCAATTGCTTCTTCATATTTCTTCTGGTGCACCTTGCTCCATCCAAGTTGATGATTGAACTGTATTTTCTCACGATCACTGTATGTTTGCTCGAGGAGAACTTCGTGTAATTCGTCGGCCTTATCAAAGTGGCCAAGTTTAAATAGCAATTTACCGAGTTTATCCCATTCAGTACATCCTCTTATCTCATCACGTATCCGTTCAGTAAGAGCATTTAACTGTGAATCATTATCATTGGTCTGTATTAAATCTACCTGCCATAGACGATTGTTACCGTTGATTTGTATGATATTGCCAATACGAAACACGGTATGCATCGAAAATAGAATTTCGTCTTCGGTCTTGTAGTAACTTACGTGGTTGATGCAAGCAAAAGGAGTAGACTTTATTGAAGGATCAATCATCATCACGAAGACTATTCCCACAGAGTCTGAACTAGCAAGAGAACTACTAGCAAAGCCTTGAGCTATACTTAGGTCTTTGCTCGTAGACAAAAAGTTATTAAAAGATATGAGCCCACCTTGTGTATTTCGTATTTTCTCAAACTCTTTCTTAGGTAAACCTTGACCTCGAAAGATAGTAAATGGCGCCAATTCATGGTACTCTCTATATTGTTCTGAGTGTAGCTGTACGATTTGACGATGAAGATCTTGAATGAAGAAGCCCATTTTGATGATTGTATCTACTTCCATGAAGCGTAAAGCTCGATTGAGCACAGAGTAAAGACTACATTTGTGAGTATACCACCAGATAGGCGAGTAGTCTTTATAGTCTCTTGCGAGTCCATCGATATTATTCAATTGTATACCATTATCAGTAAATTTTTGCCGATAATAGGTGATAAAATCTGTAATATGTTGTTCATTGAAATCAATTGCCAATAATATTTCCTTCAGGATCTGTGTATACATAAATGATGGATCCAATTGATCCAAATTTTCATTGAATGTTTCTCTATTGGTCGACACAAGGCTGATCGAAACTAAATCTTGATCACATCTGTGTGCATCCTGTTCGAGCACTTGGCAGATAGATAAAATTGATGGAAACATGCCCTTCACTTTTGGCCATTCTTGTGTCCATTCTCTTTGTTGTGACTGACTTTTAGAAAGGATGTAAATGGAATTAATTTGAATTATCTCGTGCACGGATGGCACAATATTTTGATTTAATTCATCAGAAATAATCATCAAGACTTTTTCGTCTATAATGTCAATAACGAAATCGATGCATTGATCAACATCGGTAAACGTATTGATGTCATTAACAACTGTTCGTAGTTCAGTGATTGACTTACGAAACTCATTTTCATGCATGTCATCAACATCAGAATGTAACCATACAAGGATGAAGTTTTGAACGATACGAGAATTAAAGGGTCGACGTATTTTTTCAGGTCTCACGTTGCCAATGAGATGGTAATTTTCTACTTGTTGACTCAAATCCATATTGTATTAGGTATCAGTCTTCAAAATTCAACAATCGAAAAATGAATGTTGATGAAAAGATATAAAATTTTCTTTTTATTATAGCTTGCTTTCTTTTTTTTCAGCGATGCTCTGCGCGACGTTGTCGTTCTTTTATTTTTATTACTATTGAAGTATGTTACCTTTTTCTATTCAATATATTTGCCACAAACACAACAATAGGCTAACAAGCGCAAGTTCGCTCGCGACAACGTGCGAAAGAAAGGAAGAATGAAAATTTGTTGTTACTGTCAACATTACTATTAAAAAATAGCATTCGACGACGGAGCCACCTTCCTTTTCTTCGTCTCTGAAGTCAGAAAGTGGCATGCTGCAATGCCTGTGTACTAACTCAATTAACGGTTGGGGTAGAATAAATGGTTGGCCGTAGAAAGGCCGAAAGGAAAAATATCGAAAGGAAAAATACCGAAAGAAAAACACCGAAAGAAAAATATCGAAAGGGAAAAATGTCGAATGGATAAATGTCGAAGAGAAAAATGTCGAAAAGGAAAATTGTCGAAAGAAAAATATCGAAAAGGAAAAATGTCGAAAACAGAAAAGATAAAAAAAGCGACGTCTACTAAATGAAGGTTCTAATAGTTTGTTGTTCATTGTTGTTGATCTGATTATTCCATTGGTTTGACAATGATAGCCCTTGATACTATTGATAAGTAATATCTTATGAAAACTAGCTAAAATAGGCGTAAAATAGTATACAACGATTAAAATTTTATCATGATGACTACAGCTTGCTCATTTTTATCTGGTGAGAATCATCCGCCAACTCCAGTTATTTCATTTATTCAGTCGTAAAAAGGAAAACCTTTCCTTGTATCAGATAAATATATTTTCAAACTGAATACAACAGCAACAACTAGTAAATATTGGATATGTGTATTTTTCTTTATAACTCTTATTTATCTATGATCTATGCTATGATGCTATTATGATTTCAAGAATAAAAACATCTTAGTGCAAATTTTCGATATTTTTCCCTTTCAATATTTTTTCTTTCGACATTTTTCCTTTCGTCATTTTCTATATTTTTCCTTTCGATATTTTTCCCTTTCGACATTTTTCCTTTCGGTCTTTCTACGGCACACCGAATAAATAATGATCTCAAATTTTAAAGCGATATCGTTTTCAATTTTTATTTCATTGGTCCAAGTAGCCCAAGAGATAAGAATATAAAGGAATCAATCTGGAGACTGTGGATATACTTCCTAATAAAAGGGTGCCACGTGAAACCATGTAACGTTCCATAAGAAACATTGAACTTTTTAAGATTCTCTTCGGTTACGACTAAACCAGCGCTAATTCCAAAACAAAGCTTCTTGGCTTTCATGTGCTGTATATCAAAGCTACTTCGCGTTTCATATCAGTAAGACTTATCTAGTGGAAGATTACGTATTAAAGTATTGATTCATTGAAAAAAAATTTTAAATATCGTCTACGATGGAATACACACTCGGGCTCGGCTATATAAAAAGCACATTCAAAGTCAGACCGATAAGAACACATAGGTGAGAGTGGATAAATGTGAAATTTTTAATACATAGTGGGAGTTGAATTTATATTGAACTAATCATTCGGAACTCAATGTGTCGAAGAAGTCAGCTTTTAGCAGCGCCGAACATTTTTCAAAGGAATAAAAAGAAGATGTGATATAGAATCATTTAAATTTTAGCAAGACGCCATTGTGTTTTCGAGAGTGGTTAGTAGATACGATAGAAAAGTATAATTTTCTTTTTTGAACAGTCTATAGAACTTTATTACAAATTTTGACAGTAAACTTATTATATGTCTGTTGAAGTTAAACCATAAACTTCAACTTCATAGACGATTGACGAGTATCCTTTGTCTGAAGGGAATGCAATACGCATTTGACTACCTGTAACTGCTCTAAAAGTAATATCATCATTATTATTTATAGTAGATTCCGTATAAGCAATGAACCAATTCGTACCATTCCAATATTCGATATAATAGACAGTAGTACGTTGGCCATATGTAATAATTCGCACTTTGTTAAAAGTAACATTAACACAAAAGTCTACTGTTAACCATGAATTATTCAATCCTTGTGCATTATTGATTTGCCAACTTGTACTTAAATTACCATCCGCAGCAGCTTTGCTAAATCGATCATTTATGTTCTGATCTGATGATCTCTTTATATTCATACCAAATGCGTAGTTGGGTGATGTGTTCGAACCATTGATGAGTTGAATCTTAAGTGCCCAATCATCGGTAGAAGTAGGTTGATTTGGAATATCCCATAGACCAGATTTTGTAGGCATCCATCCTGCATCTATCATTGAGTAAGTACCATTACGTGGATTAAACCATTGAGACATGTACACGCCAGTAGGTGATAAGTTTCTTACTGTTCCATTATAAACAGTACCATTTAATTGCAATGGTAAATAAGCAATCACTAGCGTACGATTATTTCCATTCGTTTTTTGATAAGGTCTTTGAGTATTATTTGGAGCAGCTAACCAACTAATAGCATTTTCATCGGGTGCCAATGTCCACCAATCAAGTGCTCCCCAAAAGTTTGCCATAAAAGACATTTGTTCACCAACAGGAAAATCGATCGCTGTATTCCAAGATCGTGCATCACTACCGTTACCACAATTATAATTTATTTCTTTCGTTGTATAACAAGCCCACCAGATACCTTGGGCTCCGTAGGTAAAACCAAAAGTTCCAGCAATTTGTGATTGCCATGCACTCTGACGAGTTTTCCATTTAGGTGTGATTACTCCACCACCATACCATGGAATAATATCTTCATAATTGGCTTCGTCTTCAAGAATAGGTCGTGGTGGAATGGCATTATATTGTGTAAGCCAGTAATCCACTGAACTTACGCGATTATGACTTTGCTGAAGTGTAACAAATCCATACCATGATTGATCGTGATAAACTATTGGATTTGTGTAAGCATTATGCATACTATTGGCACGTTTGTATGGATCAAGGTCGTATACGTATTCAGCAACATGTGCCCAACATTGACCACATGCTCCAGAAGCCACATCGTTAAATTCTTGCGCAGTTATCCATACAGTTGGATAGGCACCGTATCGTGCAAGTATGTAACGTGCTAATCGTTTGTGATCAGATTCGGCAGAAGCATTTTTCATACTTCGACCAATCCCTTGTGCCATTGAAATGACCATTCCTTTACTCGCCAAATATGCAATGCGTTGATCGATATTCTGCCAGAATGCTGGATTTAAATCAATAAAAAATTTATCATTATTCCATGCTGGTCCACCTTCATTGCGAGCTGGATTACCTTGCTCATTATTGTTAGCAAACGTTTCCGCCTTCCAAACAGTAAAACCTTGTTCTAGTCGTCGATCAATCATACCTTTGAACATTGAACTAAAACGTACATCATTTGATTCATTAAACCGTTCTGCAATGTTAAAGCCTGACCAATGTGTATCTCCTAGCCAATAGAAAGGTTTTCCATCAGCATATGTCAAGTATCGATTATTTGCACTGGGTTTCATAAAACCATGCTGATAGATTGATAATGTACCAGTGTAAGGTGTACACATGATGAAACCAGTTTGATTGTTGAGACCAACATCATTCGCCTTTGTTGTATAAGTCCAAATACCATCAACAATGGGAGCAAAACGAATTTTCCACGTTTGCCCACCATCCCAAAAGCCTGGCATAGTCATAGAAATCCCAGTTGATGATATAAATGTTGCACGCAGATCATCGACATCTATGTATGGACTCGAATAGTTACCGGCAGCATTTAATGAAATCTCCACCAAATTCCAACATTCGACAGTAAGATTCAATGCTTGAATATATGGAGACATAAACAGAATATTCAGAACAAAAAACCAATTTTGAGAACGATCCATCGGTTATTTTCTAATTTTCTTCAAAAAAGAATTTGTAATGGTAATGTCCTTATCTTAAATGTATGCACGCAATAGGAGTATTGATAAAAGATTTTTTCTCTTTTTTTTAAATTCAACAAAGATGCATGGTCTGATACGACGTAGAGCAGATAAACTTTCGATGTAATACGAAAATTATTGCATTGGATGATTTCTATCTAAAAAAACAGCGATGAATTCGATTAGACTGCAGGCGTCTATCATTTTCATTCATGGACCTACGCTGTTACCTGCGCTCGTGATGTAACTAAGATTCTTCTGTTTTTTGTTTGCTCACACTACCATATTCTATCGATTTACTTAGTTTCTGTTAGCGTATAAATCTTATGAAAAAACAAAATGGAGCATTGCATTTCATAGCTAGGAAAGTCTACACTGAGGTTCCTATTGAACATCAGATAACAAAAGAAGAAGTTCAATACTTTCACCCCAAATCATACTTGAAAGTAAAGTTTTAACAACAGAAATAAAATTCATCATGGAATTCAATTGTATAGTTCACATAGTGACGTATTTTTCGTTGCATCATCAGGCAAAATTAATCGCGATAAAGCTGCCTTGATTAATATTACGGAAATCAATGTTTATTATTTTATTCATTTTGGAATAGTACGTTTTAACTCCTTATCTTAGATTATTTTGCTAGAGTCCGAATTTAGACGCATTTGTTATGTTATCAAATGCTTTCTCTATTTTGCATAGTTGCTATCGCATGAAAAATAGGAATGAATATATGTTTACAATAAGAAGATGATATGAAGTTTCCTGTTTTATTTTTGTGATTCAGATATAGTATATACTTATGTATATTGAAATAAAATGTAGAGCAAAGAATTAAAAGGAAGTTATATAAAGTTTCATATGCTAGTTGAACTGATATTTATTGGATTAATCTTATCAGCATAAGAATCGGAAAAGAACATGTTACTTTTTACTTTTCAGTCTTATGAAAGGTGCTATAAAATTATAGGTTTACGCTGATTGCATCGTGTTCACTTCAATTTCTTAAGAGCGGAAAACATGATTACTTTGAATTTGATAGCAGGTACAAATATTGAAAAGTAAAATATGTCGCATATCATAGTGTATGAATATCAAAGCTTCCATCACCCACACCCTCAAGAAACAAAGACGCTCATTCGAAATATCATGAATATAGAAACTTGTAAATTCGATGAGCAACAGGTAACATGGCCTATTTCACCGAAGTGATATCAACAGAAAGCCAAAAACTTCATAAACGTATATGTCACAGTTGACATGAGAATTTCAGTTGAGATTGGAATGCGCGAAATAAAATTATTTGAATTTTTTTCCCCTGCTCGTGTTTCATAAAATAAAATATATTTAAAAGGAAAAAGAATTTCACTAGTAAATTGAATCGAATGAATGAAAAAAATTATAGGTAAATGATTACCTTGTGCTTTATGTATAATAATAATAATAATAATAATAATAAAATTTTTGTTTTGTTTAAATTCTACCGGTATGAGTCATAATATGATTAATCTCCTCTGAATTAATCATCAGATGGTATTACAAGGAGGTTTAGTACATTTTTATATTTGATTTATAAAAGTTGTATAAATAAAATAATTTATTTTTCTCAGATAAATTCAATGTCCCCATGTCCCCATTGTTTAACAAATGTACAGAGAGTTGAATTTATATGAAAACCTTGTAAAAAGATGGAAGAAATAATTATCAATACAAAATTTTCTAAAGGCAGATCTCAACAAAAATTCTATTAAAAAAATTAAGAAAAAGCTATTCCAAACTCAACTAAATTCCAAACTCGCCTGCCACATATATAAAATTGGTCAGAAAATTCTTCATTGACCAACCCTACAGTTTGTTAAGACCTACAATGAACACGAGCATACCTGATGATAAAGATATTTAAGTTACATTCGAAATGTACCCTATGTTAGCTTGGTTTCTACTTATATATTCAGAAACACACCTAGAGGTGTCAGCCGTACGGCTGAGCCGCCGCCACCAAATTACTGGTAATTTTAAGAATTTTTGGGGAGCCGCCGCTGACATCAATACATATACGATCGAATAGATCATTTTTCTTTTAATTTTTGCCAGTGAATTTGTAACTCAGCCGCCGCCGCGACATAAGGAGTTACAAATATCAGCCGGCGCCGCTGCTGTGGAAAAAATTTAAGAACTTGCAGCAGCCGCCGCCGTTCAACCCTTCGGCTGACACCTCTAAACACACCTACATCCACATCTTTTCACAATTGTTAAATCGAATAGAATTGGTTCTTGATATTACAATAATGAAACAAGAACGGAGAGAATGAATATTAATATCTATAATATCAATAACATCGATCCACTAGATTTTATTGAAAAGGCTTGTTAGCGTAACTCTATCAGACTGAAATGTAGAAATCTCGTATCTCCTTATCTGAATTATTTTTCAACTTTGTAACTTCACTTATATTCTATTCCTAAAAAACATTTTCTGCAGGTGATTGATTTTGATTTGATTGGTGAGGTCTGTAGTACGTGGGTGCCTAAAATGAAGGTGGGGAAGGGAAAGGCACGAAAAATCCAACTTAAACCTTGCAATCACTATTTTCCTCAAAAATGTATGTGACTTCGTGAAAAAAAATCTAAAACGTAATGAGCGAGGAAGAAGAAAAATAAATGCCATCGAATTTACTCCTGAATTTTGTAACATATGAGTATCCCGAAAGAAAAACAAAATTGAATTTCTTTTTACCTTTTCTTCTTCTTCTTCGAATATATAAGACCATTTCTCATGTGAAATTGTGTAAACTGCTTAAGAAATAATAAATCATTTTTAAACTACACTGCGAAACTATTTTTACAGTTAGTTAGTTAGTTATTAAAACGAGCAAAACAATGCGACGGCATTGTAGAAAACGAATATTTACTTTATTCTTTGGCTGTTTGATATTTTATATCGGTGGGTATGTATTTGTCAGCATCTCGGAAGTTACACGTGATTCAACTGAAAAAATCGTATATTTACATGCACTACGCCGATCGTCACCAATGGAACATAATATTGAGTTATGTTCTTCAAATGATATCGATCTTATTATTATTATTATTTCATCGAGTTCACATTTTCTTGAGCGAGAATCAATCCGTGAAACGTGGGGATCAATGCCAAATTTGATGAATATACGTTCCCAATGTATTTTCGTGGTTGGCTATCAATATGGCAATAGTATTTTTGAAGAATTATTAAATGAAGCAAAAAGTAAACATGATTTACTTTATTTAACTGTTGACGATGATTCAATGGTAGGAAAAGAATTACATGCCTATAAATGGTTGGAAAAATATTGTTCGAATGTAACATTTACATTTAAAACTAATGATTATTTTTTTGTGAATACCTTTCTTTTACATGAACTTATTCAAGAACTTACAACTAATCCGCAACAATATCAAAATAGATATTTATATAATAATTCATTAGAATCCCTTTTTACTGCTCATATTAATCCTGGTGCAAATAAATTTCTTTTTGGGAGAATGTTCCAAGCAAGTAGACCACACCGAGATAAACTGAGCCCATTTTATGTTAGTTATAAAGAGTATCCAAAAGATTTATATCCACCTTATTGTTCTAGTTTGTATTTCTTGTTTTAATAATGAATTTTACTAAGAATTGTTTTCTAAATTTTAGTTTTCGGTTATTTAATGGATTCCAAAACACGAAATTTACTTACAGAAGAAGGCTTAAAAGATAAGTCTCCATTTCGTTTTTCGGATGTATATATAACAGGAATTTTACCTGAACGACTTAGATTTATTTGTAATAATATACCATTTACTTATCATCTTGGCAGTACAGACGAATGTATAAATATTATTAAGAAGCAAAACGTAGAATCATCAAGATCGCCACTTATTGTTTGTTCAACATCGCTTATACCCGCATATAAATTTTTAGACTTTTATAGAATTTGGACTGTTCTAAAACACGTTTATAAAAATCGAATGTATTCTACCCAAGGTAAAAACTCAAAGAACTGACAATTTTTTCTTCTCATATTTCTCTTTAAGGTGTCTTTTTATTGTATCAAAATAAAAACAAAGAAACAGTACTAACACTTTTACGATATTTATCTACTAATATTTAACAGAGCCGAGATATAAAACAAGATATAATGTTGGAAGTGTGTTATTTGTTTAGTTGTACAGAATTCGAATTCATCAGCTATATAGACAGAATCGTTATAACAAATTTAAAATGATCTGATAGCCACCATGAAATACGAATGTCAGTTTGGCTACCGTCAAAAATTTACCGATATTTGAAAGATAAAAAAAACACTATGCGCAGAATTCTTGTAGGATCAAACTGTAAAATGTTTTATTCGCGCAGTTACATCTGACTGCAATGTGGAACACGCACATTTCCTTTATCTTCATTATTATTTTTTAATTTGTAAGTGGACTTGTATTCTGAAAAAGATTTTACAATATCTGGTGCCTGTTTTTTTTATTGTACTGTTCAAGTCTGTAATGAGAATGGAGAGAGAGAGATGGGTTGTTTGCGATGAGCACCTTCGTTACTATGGTCGGTAATATAGAGCTAGATAATCGCTACAACTTCGCCTTTAAACTTACGCACTATATTTTTTTGTTCGAAAGTATGTATGAGTTCGACAAGAATAAACTGACGCTTTAATAGTAAAACTAAAAAAAAAGCTGTGAGTGCGTGAAGGTGTACTATATAGACTTAAATAGATTCAAAACATAACATGACGCATTTCGTCTTAGAGAAACATGGCGAGAAGCTCTCTCATTTGACGAGAATGAATATCAAGCAATGGTTAGAGATACTCTTATATAACAAGACGAATGAAAATCTCGAGTATTATAATGTATAAATGTTCGTATCATGTCTGTAGTGATTATATGAAATAAATAGTGTGAGCGCGGGCGCATCTTTCATTCACCCACACTCACACAAATCTTCAAAGTTCCATAATGGAATCAGCTGATGAGTTTAAATTTTATTGTCATCGAAATATCTTATATCTTTCTATAAAACTAAACTAAAACAAAAGTATAGATGAAACAAAAGAATTGCTGGAACATTTATCCATTCATTTGCTAAGAAACATAGATTCATGTTCATCAGATAGTGATTCAGTTGGTTTGATGATACTGGTAGATAGATGAACAGTAGATGATCTTATTATATCACATTCTCACTTACAGTCAAAATTATAAACTCTAAATCAACGAGTTTGTCGCTGTTTAATTTTTATTATATAGTCACTAATTTCAACGAATACGCTATTTTGAATTAACGTTCCACCATGATCATTGGAAACAAATGAATACAAATGTATTTGTTTAGATTTAAATATTGGCTCGTTTTTGGAAAAGATTGAAGAAAATTAATGGTGGTTGCGTATTTGCTAAGTTTAAAAATGGTGATATGAATTTTACGAGGGATGATATTTTTTTACCAAGGTATTAGTTGTCATCCAAAATAGTCTTGCGGAAATCTGTGAAAGAACACCTGTTGAGATTCGATAAGACACGCCCATATTCATCTCATTGCATTTTTTCTTATCATCATATTATCACTCTTTTCTTCATACTGTTTCGCAGTGGTAGTAACGACACTCCCCTTAAATGCTATCTAGCCTTCCATCGAACGGATATGTTAGAAAATTGCAGCTAATTAAACACTTATGTTGTAAGATCATGCTCACAGGAAATGCATTTTAAAATAAGTAAAAAAATCGGGCATCATTAGCAACTCATTTTATCTTCATGAAAAATGCCGAAACAACAAGTAAGATTCAACGAGGATAAAGAGAGAAAGAAAGAAGGAGAGAGCTTTTCAAAACAGTATAAAATAGCAGATGCAGAATTAGCTTCTTCATCCACTTATATTACTTTTTTGTTAACTGAGTGACATTACATTTTCTAATCTCTGAATCGATACACAACAAAATGGACAACGCCACGCTTATATCTGGAGACAATGCATGGGTAAGAAATGTTTTTTCCACAATAGTGGACAAGAATTTTAGAGAGTGAGCCGTGTGCCAGAAACAATACTCGATTTATGCGTTGCTGAGACTCATTTACGGTTGCAGATTAGGATTACAAACTAGACATCAATCAGGTTATGATAACAAAACTTTTGAAAGATTTGGTCCAATACAAACGATCAAGAGCGAGTTATGAGGTAGATGAAGTATTTGTACGCGTTTTGCCTTCTTTTAAAATGGCAACAGCAAAGTAGAAAATAGTGCAAGGCAGGTATTTTCTCAAGATTTCATTTTCGTGTCTGCATCATATGTTAAACACATTGCCGTGCTTCATGCCAGAAACGACATTCACTCGAGTAGAATAGATCATTAGTGCATCGTGACCTTTCGACCTATTTCACTGGAGCAACAATCTAATGACATAACTTGTTCGGTAGTTCATTATATAGCCCTTTTGATTTGTTTAAATTGTTGGCTCAAGATAATATCCAACAAGCTTATATTCGTAATACCAGAAAAACGAAAGTATAGTTTATATCTCGTGAAAAGCCGACTGCGTTTGGTCTAAACCAAGAATAAATGTCAGATTATAACCGAGAGTTGTTGTGAAGGTCCAATAGTGGATCTTACTGGACTTACTCCTGCTATCAAATTTGTATTATAAATCGATCCTTGAATCTGATCATACGAGATCAATTATATATATTTCCTGTGAATTAGAAGAAGACTGGTAGGCAGAGCTGTGCAACAACTATAATATTCATCGTTTTCATTTTGCCTATGTTTTAGTGTCAAGAAATATCATGCATGACTATTTATTAGCAGCGTCAAAATTTTCTACGAAGTATCTAGAAAAAAATTTGAATATCGGAAATTATAGCGTCTGTCTTCATTTTTGGTACTGTTCATATGGATACCATTTTCCACAAATTGTGTTTCCTTAAATCACTCTTACATTTGTGGATAATGAGATGATATCATTTTTCTCATCATATAATGGGGATTTTCTTTTGAGAGTTCTGAATTTAGGAAATTTTATATAAAATGTACCGTAACCGTGTTATGCCCTTGTTCATCAAATAATGCTTTTCATATATGGTTCATTCCTTCATCAAACAAATTTAACTGAACCATCACCTTATATCGAAACCAGAACGTTAGCCGTATAAAGATGGTTTTTAGACGCAACAGGCATTATGCTATAGCATTATCTGTTAGATCTGTGACAGTTCATCAGCGAAAAATCGAGATTCGTAATGGAATATTGTTAATTCCTCAATTTTCGCCTCGTGTGCGCAATCTAATTTTCCATATAGACGCGTATTATTACATTTAGAGAATAGTGGGAATGTGTTTAACGTTGCAAGTTTTTGCTTGTTCGTATCGTATGGTAGGAATGACATAATCGTGGCAAGTGGCAGTTTTCGCATTTCATTTTATTCTAAATTTAAATTAACAGCAAATTTGCAAATCTCCATTTGGTGACTAGAGAAATTATATCCTCTGATTATGATCCTTCGAATTGTCTCCAATGAAGTTTATTCCGTATAATCCCATTTTGTTTTAGTGGGACAGCAGTCGGACGTTGATGAAATATGAATCCTATTAGCTCTTTCTGGGATTATAAAAACGATGTATTTTTATTTCTATGTTATAATCAGTTTTCCTGTTCAGTTTTCACAATCTATCAACTACTAATCAGCGCATGTCTAGTGATTTTAGAAAATAATATTATAGCTCATTTAAATTTCTATCGGTGATTTGTTCGACTAGCTATGCTGCTTTCTTTCGATTTAGTTGATGACCTCGACCGCTTTAGTGTATATGATGACGCCAGGTTTAGCCTGTTTCTATGGTGGGCTTGTTGAAAGCAAAAACTTTTTAAATCAATTTTTTCTATCCATTGTCTGCATGGCAATTATTCCAGTTCAATGGTGTCTTTTCGGTTATTCGTTTACCTTTGGTTCCGGAAATTCAGTATTCGGCTCGTTCAACAACGGTGTACTGCGTTCGTTTGGCCTTAATAATTTCTATGGTGAAAATCCGGACCCAACAAAGGCACTAACAATTCCATCATTAACATTTGTTGCTTATCAATGTGCATTTGCTATCATCACTGTAGCATTGATCAGCGGTGCTGTAGTTGGCCGAATGAAACTCATACCGTACATGATATTCGTTTTTCTTTGGTCAACATTATGCTATGATCCATTGGCAAGATGGATCTTTTCTAATCAAGGTTGGCTCAACCAAATGGGTACAATCGATTTTGCTGGTGGTATGGTTGTTCATTTTGCCAGTGGTATATCGGGATTGACTGTTGCTACTATTTTGGGCCCACGTTCAGATTTCGATCCGGACGCACTGAAAACAGGTCAAACACATCTTCCTTTTACTGTGTTGGGTACTGGCATGCTCTGGGTTGGTTGGATGGGTTTTAATGGAGGATCAGCACTTGCCGCAAACGGTATGAAATATTGAGCTCGAGTATATCTTGCCATGATTCTTTTTGATATTTTTTACGAGAACACAAAACAAAAGAAGAAAATATGTTTAGCTGAATATTTTCCTCAAAGTTGAGCACATTAAAGTTGTTATAAAACTATTCTCGCGAGATAAAATATGGTCACATTAGAGGTTACACTAATCAGAGAACACTTTTTACAAAAATAAACTTTATTTTTCACTATCCAAACCGACTTTCTGAATTTCGTTTTATAGGCATTGCTTCATTAGCCATTGTCAACACGAATGTAGCAGCTGCATCGAGCATTGTTATATGGATTATTCTAGATATCATATGTGGCAAAGCGGCAGGTCAAAGTCTTGGTGTTGTTTCGATTCCTGGTACATGTTCGGCTGTTGTTGTCGGACTTGTTGTTATAACACCAGCTGCTGGCTACGTTCAGCCCGGATATGCTCTGTTAATGGGTCTAATCGGTGGCTTTATCGTTTACCTGTTTCTTCTAGGAAAGAACCGATTTTTTCATGTTGACGATTCTCTCGATGTGTTTACCTGCCATGGGGTGGGTGGTTTGATTGGTAGTCTCCTAACTGGTCTATTTTGTCAGACGGATGTAAGTAGTAAGGTCAATAATGGCGCATTATACGGCAATCCAGTTCAATTGTGGTATCAAGTCGCTGGAATTTTGATCACCAGCGCATTTTCAGTGGCATGCACAGCTGCTATTCTGCTACCTATGCATTTTACAATTGGCATTCGTACCAGTCGAGATCAACAAATCCGTGGGTTGGATAATGTGGCTCATGGAGTAATCGACTGCGAACTTCCACAACAAAAACTACCAGTAAAATTATCAGCACTGAGACAAGACCGAGGCAATTTAAATATCGCCACTGTGGCCACAGCCATTCCAAAATAGACATCAGTTTTTAAACTTTAACTCTTTATTTAAACTATTTTGTCGTCAGTGATGTGTAAAAATAAAATGAAAACTATTTTCAAACCTGATTGATATTCAAAAAATCTAAACCGTGAGAATCACTTGCGACAGCTCAGACCAAGGTTGGGCGAATCCAATATTGTTGGTTTCAAGAAAATTTTCATTTGCTCTCTTTAAAAAACAGTAAATTTTAGAGCAAATTTTCTCACTTAACTTTTGACGAATGTATAAATATATTTGGTAAAATAAATCAAACCTTTGCATTTTTCATTCGTCATATTCTTTATTAAGCTACAAGATGAACATTGGGTGACAGTCTTTTTTATTGACAAATTTTTCCGTTATACATTTCATATTATTTATTTTTACAATAAAGAATATTGATTTTGAATCTACTTCTCACCCACAACCAACATGAGCCATTATCAATATTTTAAGCAATTTGTAATGAACCTATTGTGCTTCATGGTAATAGTATAAATGTAAAAGAAAATCAAATAGCAATGGAATCTAATCATAAGAAATATACTATATAAATAAAATTGGAATATTTAATAGCATTAAAAATATTGATCATGGCTTATATTTGAGTCGAAAACTCTATTAATTTATATTATTAGTTTTTATATGATGAACAATAACTACATGATAATGTATAATACGATCAACATCGAATTTTGCTTAGATTCGATCCTAATAAAAGAAAAATTAGGTCACGATCGTGTTTAATGATTTTGTTCAAAGAATCCATAAAAAATTCAATAACAGTTGGAAGTGCAGTTACTGTTACTGCTGTGATCGATAAGAATTCATTCACAGTCAAGTCACGTATATGACCAATATTTCTTTATTAATATTGTTTTATTGCATCTGAATACATACTTGTTGTATACCAGTAATGGGTTTCCTTTATTTGATGTTAAAAATGAAACATTGAAATTTGCTGTTAGTATTGTACCTACAGATACGACGTTCGATGCAGTGACCATGATGAACTAACTATTCAGTTTATTGTGAGCGAAATGAAATGAAATGACTTTAAATGACATGAAGATAGAAGAATCGAATTAGTGATGTAACAGCCAATAATATATGAGAAGGAAAAATGTATATATATATATAGTGGGCATCTATGTATTCTATCATATTCTTTCGAACTTTTTCAATTGCTGTTTTGCCGTTTTCTTTTTCATTATTCTGTCTTTCGGCATTTTCACTATTCTACAATTTTCTTTTCAGCATTTTCCATTCTTCCTCCTCTAATATGTGATAATTAATATTAAACAACTTGTTCTCGCTTATCTAATTTCGCGGGATGATTTTTTTACGGTCAATATAGGCTTTTCTTTAAATTAAAGAGCCAAAAAATAACAGAGCGGATTAATATAATAGCTTTCAAACTACAAAAGACTATATATAAGTAAAATGGGTATTTTGCCTGAAGGAATTATGACTGAGCTTTACTTGGCTTCAATTGCACTGGAGAAAAATGAGATCCTCACCCTTTGATTTTTTCCAAATTAATTAAAACATTAGTTGAGCAAGGATTTTTTTCTGTTCTTCATTTTCGGTAGTTAAAAATCAAAATAAACCTACAAAACACAATACGTTGTGTACATAACCAGTCACCAGTTTACGAGACACAGTAAAGCATGCCATTAGCAGTATTTCAGCTCTTAGAAACTTAATTCACTCTCTACGGAATGACACCCATCTTGTTTCTGGGCATAATCAGCAACACTATTGTGATTATTATTTTCAAAAAGAATCGCAAGAATTCTTGTTCGATGTATTTGATGAGTGCAGCAGTAATCAACATTGTTTATATCACATGTTCTGTTATTCTCTATTTCTATACTATTTACTATGGTGATCCAACTACGGGGTCGTTAATTTTTTGCAAATTACGTTATTATTTGGGTCACATCTTGGGCCAAATGGCAAGATACTTCATTGCAGTAGTATGTATCGATCGCTTTGCATTGACAAGCATGAATGCTCGATTTCGAACATTCAGTAAGCCGTCAACAACACGATTCCTAATTATCAGCATTTCTGTTATTATGCATATTGTTCCCAGCCATATAGCGATCCTGACAACCATCGAAAATGGAAATTGTCGCCAGTATGGACTTTATTTTCCTTTTTACACTGCATATACAGTGATTTGTCTTGGCTCACTTCAACTAGCAGTGATGGTAGTTTTTGGATATATGGCTTATCGCAATGCAAGACGATTGCACACGATTGTACGTCCAACTGAAAACAGACATATTAATAATCGTCCTAATACTAATCTTTATTGTCGGGATCAGTCATTGCTAGTGATGCTACTTGCCGAAGCCGCTGTCTATGTTTTGACAATGGGTTTTTATTCGTGCCTTTTTTTTTTTATAGAGGTAGTAGTGACCGATTACAAGAACAGCAATAAAAGTCCTAAAGCATCCAGATTGAAATCTTCCTATCGTTTATATGGCAATATTTCTCTTTATAACGAACCATACAGCATCTTTTTATATTTACGTGTTTGCACCAAGTGCCTTTCATCGAGATTTCACACAGCTTGTCATAAAATGTTGGCCACGATCAAGTGGACGAGAAGAAACCGCTAATAGTTCTACGACACGAAACAAGACAGAGGCAGTTGCAAGTAGACATTTCTGTCTAATATCTAATAAAAGTATTGCTATTCAATTCGGATATTGTCTACTCGTATCAATTGGCCTCGGTTGTTCTCAATAACTTATTCCTAAATATCTTATATGCCTATAGTGTGGTGATCTCGTGACAAACATTGTAATGCTTACTGTATCTTCTTCAAATGACATGTAACGTAAAATTAGATCTACTAAATATCTTATTAATGAACCTCAATCAATATAATGACGTTATACTAACTGTGTGAGTGCGATTGGGTATCGTTTGATTTCATCAGACCACACCCTCTATTTAGTCAGTATCTACCTCAGTGATCCATATTATAGATTTCATAACATCTGAGCTCCGTAGTTTAGTCTCCATCGGACTGCGCTAAAACGATTTTTTTAAACCCTTGTTTAACTAGGTAAGGGCGTCCAAATGACTATGCGTAAAGATGCAAAATATTACTAAACCAGCAAACATTTCCTCTCCAAATAAATGAGCACGGCTACAGATACTATGAACTTCTAACAAAACTTAAAGCCAGTAAAGAAAATCATCTTTTGGACCCCAAAGCTTGGCAGCAACATCCAAACAACAACCTAAACGTCAGCCACAGTTACAAACACTCATATACACCTATACCAATACCCACACCCTAAAATTATTGTCAGAATTATCAAAAAACGCTTTCAGTGCAATTTCTGCGAACTTAACATGTGAACCCCATTGAAATCTAAACCGTGCCTTCTACCATCTTTTTCGACAAGTTTACTTAAATATCCTTGGTTATTTTCGTCTATGCAAAAATAAAAAGATACAACAACTTTAAGTAGCTCTTATCTATTACTGTTTTCTTCGTTCTATTCATTATCAGGAAGAAAAAATATCTGTTTGCTATTTAACAAAGGTAAGCATTTTTTGAAGCTCAAGAATTTTTGGGATAAAGTTTTGCTTGGAACTAAAAACTGAGATATTCGAATTCATCATATATGATGGTCGCTCAGCTCACACTATCGTTTATGGATGTAGTTCCTGATTGGAATCGAAACGCGAGATTGTCTTGTCACACGAAGAGAAGAATTGATATAGCACTAGCTGACTCGGGCTAGAAACGTAAACATGAATTATCATGCTCATATTAGCAGTAACCTACAGGTTCTCATATCCACTTTAATCTTGTCGTAGTAAAATGTGGTTTTGGACAGTGTGCACGTAGATGTTGAAGCGATATCACATATAGCTTTCGAAACATGGAGATCATTTTTCTTCGATCTAAATCAATTTGGGGGGGGGGGGGGGGGGGGGGGGGGGGGGGGGGGGGGGGGGGGG